AGACTTTATTTTAAAATTTTGCAATCGCAGTTATTATACAAACAGGAATTGCACAAATCATAGAATATTCTAAATTCACATACATAGAAAAATCTGACCAAGCTAATCTTACCGAAACACCACCTCGCATCTTAGCTATTAAACATTATCATAAAGATGCGAATACGTCAATTGTTCACATCGGTCGGGAGAATTATATTTCCGGCACTAATTTATGTTTAGAACAGAGATTATTACTTCGCGTTCTTCAAGAAAACGGAAACGTTATTGAAATAAATTTTAACAACACTAAGGAAATACAAGATATTAATTACTGTTACGTTAATGGTAAAAATCCTATAAATATACACCCATTATTTGGTAAATACATTTTGGTATCGTACGTTCATGCAAATGATACTTCCGATAGTACAACATACATAGATCGAGGAATGGTTATAGATTGGGATGGGAATATTATTAGGTTTGTTAAAAGTATAGTTAAAGGTATAGTTAAAGTATGTAAATATTTGAATATTATAATTCATTATATATCATTATATGGCAGCATAATCGATTTTGGACCATCTTGCTTATTACCGAACAGCACAATTTGGGAACCAAATGAATTGATTGTGAATAACATTGCTCCTCAAAAGGGATTTTTGCGTTTATCCAGAGTACGTGGAACAAATCATCTTGAATGGAGACAATATGGACAGTATGTATCCTTTATTTGTTAATTATGGACAGTATGTATCCTTTATTTGTTAATTATATACACACGTACTAGATTTATTTTTATTTTTTATTCCTATTTTTTTTATCTTAGTCGAGACAATGGAAATTTCAATTTACTACAAAACAACACGTTTATTACAGATAGTACAGATTTTACCGACTTTCAAGTTACCATGCTTCAAACTTTAGATAATGGATATATAATTATATATTCTAATACGTTATTTGCGAGTGCAAAATTATACGCTATGAAATTGAAATATAATGAAAAAACATCCGTAAAGTTTATTTTATATCAATCAACACAACCAAATATAACTTTCACCAGCATATTTTGCTCTGACGACTATGTTAATGTTGGTCATTTATGTTTCGCATCTGTAGCAAGTACGGTGGTTACTAAAGTTCCGACTAATACAACTACTATAGCTACAACTGCATTAGCTCCCCTAACCACTTCTACAGTCTTACACGTTCGACCTACTACTTTTAATGAACCGGGTGCACAATATTATATACAAATGGAAAACAATTTTGTACAAAATTCAAAATATGATGAGGCCATTCCGGGAATTGATCCAAATGTGTGGACTTGTCAAACAGGTTTCTTATAATTTCGAGAATCCGTTTAAATTTATTTTATCGATAGTGAATCTCGTTGATTAATATCGATTAATGTAAAATAGCTAATATCGATATTAGTCAAAGGTCAATTTATGCTGGTAATATAGTTCAATTTTATAAAGTTAATCTCTATAGACGTAATATTAATTATAAACTCATGTTAATTAGGTAATATCCCGGGAATACTGCGATTAACGACAGATGGATCCCTGTATTTTGAACAATTGAGTGATTCTGCAAGATCTGATTTCATTACCATCTTAATAAATGAACTTACAAGAAGGATTCCCACAGAGAAGGATAGATTGAGCTCAGATATGCGATATCAATTTGACGCTACTGTTGAATCGCAGATTCTTATTTCACTTTCTATTAGTCAGGCAAAAAGTGATGAAAAATTGCTTAGTACAGAGTTAGCAAAAAATTTAAACCAATTAATAATAAATGGTGCATATACGGGTATATCAACAGGAACTACTACAATTTATTTAGACTATAATTATGGGTTTCAACCAACTTGTAAGAATTA